TGCCAATCCAAGGGAACTGCCCCCGTTGTCCATGCGATATTGTAGAGTCGCGTCAGCCAACACTACCCTACAACATCCAGAGCCTTAAGGAACTCCGGGCAGATCTCATCCCCCCCCGGGGCCCTGCCCCCGAGGAGCTTTTTGACCACCTCGGCGACCTCGTCCCCAGAGATTGGAGAGCCCGACCCAGAGTCCCCAGGCTCAGCTTCCTCAACAGAAGGCATGTTGGTGGGATTGAGGAGGTCTTCGAAGTATTCTGCCCACCGGCCCACAACGTCCCTAGTTGAGGTCAGCAGCACACCATCCCCACTATAAACAGTGTTGGTGCTGCACTACTTCCCCCTCCTGAGACGCCGGATGGTGGACCAGAATTGCCTTGAAGCCATACGGAAGTCTTTCTCCATGGCCTCTCCAAACTCCTCCCACACCCAAGTTTTTGCCCTAGCAACCACACGAGCCGCATGCCGCTTCGCCTGCCAGAATCCATCAGCTGCTTCTGGAGTCCCACAGGCCAAAAAGGCCCGATAGAACTCCTTCTTCAGCTTGACAGCATCCCTCACCGAAGGTGTCCACCAACGGGTTCGAGGGTTGCCGCCGCGACAGGCACCAGCAACCTTGCGGCCGCAGCTCCAATAAGCCGCCTCGGCAATGGAGGCACGGAACATGGTCCATTCAGACTCAATGTCCCCCACCTCCCCCGGAACGTGTTCGAAGGTTTGCCGGAGATGGGAGGTGAAGCTCCGTCTCACAGGGGACTCCGCCAGACGTTCCCAGCAGACCCTCACTACACGTTTGGGGCTGCCAGGTCTGACCGGCTTCCTACCCCACCACCGGAGCCAACTCACCACCAGGTAGTGGTCATTGGACAGCTCTGCACCTCTCTTCACCCAAGTGTCCAAGACATACGGCCGCAGATCCGATGAAACGATCGCAAAATCGATCATCGTACTGCGGCCTAGGGTGTCCTGGTGCCAAGTGCACATATGGACACCCTTATGCCTGAACATGGTGTTTGTGATGGACAATCCGTGACGAGCACAGAAGTCCAACAGCAGAACACCACTCGAGTTCAGATCGGGGGGGCCGTTCCTCCCAACCACGCCCCTCCAGGTCTCACTGTCATTGCCCACGTGAGCGTTGAAGTCCCCCAGCATAACAAGGGAGTCCCCAGGAGGGGCACTCTCCAGTACCCCCTCTAAGGACTCCAAGAAGGGTGGGTAATCTGAACTGCTGTTCAGCCCATAAGCACAGACAACAGTCAGAACCCGTCCCCCAACCCGTAGGCGGAGGGAGGCTACCCTCTCGTTCACCGGGGTAAACCCCAACGTACAGGCACCGAGATAGGGGGCAACAAGTATGCCCACTCCTGCCCGGCGCCTCTCACCGTGGGCATCTCCAGAGTGGAAGTACGTCCAGCTCCTCTCAAGGAGACTGGTTCCAGAACCAGAGCCATGCGTCGAGGCGAGGCCGACTATTTCTAGCCGGAACCTCTCAGCCTCGCACACTAGCTCAAATTCCTTCCCCACCAGAGAGGTGACATTCCACGTCCCAAGAGCCAGATTCTGCACCCGAGGATCAGACAGCCAGGGTCCCCTCCCTTGGCATTAGAAACATTAGAAAATGTTAATGGAAAAATCCAAAATAACCAACTCCAACCAAATAATAACCAAAACGTCTTTACGCTCGCTTGAGGTGATTTTTGGCTTTTCCATAAAAGAGCTAATGCTCAAAACTGGTCCATCCACTGGTGGCTCAGTATCTTCCTAGGAGCATGAAACTTGGAAAATGTTCAAAGTCCAATCTTCCAGCACAGAGGGGAGGATACATAGCAACCCCCACTTCCTGTTTATTACAGCCGTGACATCGACATCTGAGGAATCACCCTTTGTGTAGCCTGGCAGGTTTTGCTCCAAACCAATACATCGAAACACGCCTAATTCACATTTTCTTATTTGTCTTTATTACAACATTTTAAAAGTTCAAACATCCATTTGTTTGCAATTAATCTATATGATATGTTTTGACTTGATGATAGACGTTTCAATAACATTTTAATTTATTGAATGGGTCTGTAAAAGAAACTTTTTGTTTTGAATTGCTTTTTATATAATCACATAAGTCATAATGAACTGGAAATATACAGAAATCATTTGACGATTCTGTTTGTTTTTGAATAGAAAATTAAGAAATTTGAAGCAAGCAGCTAAGAAAGGTTATGAGATTAATCTCCTTAAATGGGCAAATTTGGATTATTTTAAAACAATTCACGGCACCCGAGTTCCTTCTGGGAGCTTTGTTTTCAAGACCCTGATAGTGAGGATGTAAAACTCTGATGGCTTCGCCTCCTGAAGAGCGCTTCGCTATTATTGCTGGTTTTGGTTCTGACCCGTCTGTGGCCTGCTGTGAAATGTCAAAATGTTAGCAGTAAATTAAGGGAACTCCAGCTGTTTAACAGCCTAAATACAACCCAGTTAGACACAAAATATCTTGTTTTTCTTTTTTTTTATGTAGTCTGTTTTCCAAATTTCAACAATCACAAGCCTTTTACTTCTGGTTTTGGGCTCCACCTCCTCATAAATACGTTGAATAAATGTTCACCTAACCTTTTCCGCCCGCTGCTTGGTGCTGAGTACATATCAAACTTTTTTTTTCATAGAAAGCTACATAGAAAGGGCGCTGATTAAAACCGGGAAAATGCAGGGAAACTATAAATGTCAGCCTGATGAAATAATGGAGTGAATGCAGTCAGAGCTGCACGGTCAGGTGATTAGCTTGAGCAGATTTATTATTACAAGCAGTCTCTTACATTAAATATATGGCGATATAAAAGAACATTAACTCAGAGTTGTAAAGAAAAAGGGGTTTTTCTTCACAACGAAGCAACATTTTTACATAAGTTGCATAAAATATTCAAAAAGCAGGCCAACATCTGCTGTGGTGGGAGACGGTTGTGCACCAGAAGAACAACAAATGGATTAAAGTGTAAACAAAAGAAGTAATGGATGTTGCTCACCAGTCTCCGGTCCGCCTCGCGTCACGCTGATGAACTCTCCTCAGCGCTCTCTCCTCTCGTTTCTCCTCCCTGCGCCTCCTCTGCCTCCTGCAGGCCAGCGCTCTGTAAAACTCCCTCTGCTTCAGCTCCTTCAGGCGCTGTGGAACAAGCACATGTCTTACTGTTTGCTGTAAGACAAATCCGACACTCAGTTTGCTAACAAAAAGAAGTTGTGAGGTTAAAATAAAAAAGTCTGTAATTAAACTAAAGCGAGAACATTTACCTTTTTCAATCCATTGCAGACATCATTGTCTTTCTATTTATGCGTGTTACCAGTATCTTTATTTTTGCTATTTACACATAAGTCTTTATGTTAGTTATTAGCACTATCACTGACCAGAACCACTCAATCTCACACAGAACACACTCTGAAGCCTTTACAGAGTATTAGTACTAGGGTTGCCACCCGTCCCTTCAAATACGGAACCGTCCCGTATTTGGCTGTTCAATGTTGCGTCCCGTATTGACCCGATACGGGACGCGATTTGTTCTGTATTTTATGAATGTCTGATAGACACGCCTATCACACACACATCAACACTAATTATAACAAAAATGGCCAAAATAAAACAGGAAATATTAAGGTCAGCTAAATTGTCGTGGCGGGATGTAAAAAGGACCCCACAAATCTACGGACCGACGCAGTTGTGGTTGTATAGAGACGGACACTATGCAGCCGCGGTGAGCTGCTATCAACCCATGTCTTTTTAAAATGCCGTCAGCCCGATACGCCACCGTCATTAGAAGTAAAACCTCTCGTAAAGATACAGCCATGAAAGGGAAGACACAAATCCCAGGCTGAACATGTTAGTGAGGATGAATACAGGCATTTAAAAAAAAAAAAAAAAAACGTGTCCGTCGCGGCGCAGGGTGCTGCTGTATGACAGACATAATGGATCAGGAGAGGAACTGCAGACCCATCAGAACCTATAGAACCAGAAATCAGCATCTCTTCATGCCTCAATCCTGAGGCTGATATGGTAGAACATTTTATTTATTTATTAAGTTTCTTATTGTGCTTTTAGTTGACTGTTATGACTTGATTATTTACTTATTTAATGAATAGTCGTAGCAGCCAAAAATAATATAAATTGTCATTTAGAGAACAAATCATACTGAGAGATTAACAGTAAATACATAAATATTTCCTACTTTTAAAAAGGTTTGTTAGGGCTTTTTGTTTGTTTTATCAAGAAATCATTACTGTTTAAACTTTACCTTTAATAACATAAAGTTACCTAATTTTTAAAGTGCAATCAGTAATACTTTTATAACAAATTTATATCAGTAATGATTTCTTGGTTAATGTCGAGTTGTCGTAACGAAGACATTTTGAATAATGTCAACTTTGTATTAAAAGTGTCATAATTTACCGAATGACACTTTATGACAACAGTCATAAATATTCATGAAGGCTTATTCTGTTCATGACATGTGTTATGTCATGTTTATGACAGTGTCATGACAGTCTTATTCAACCCCCTTCAAATAAAGTGTTACCCATTAATGCAGCATATTTACCATTATCATGTCAGCGTTAGCCATGGATGCACAAATTACCCATGGTGACTTCATGGTACTTGTCTTTATCTGTTTCATCAGATGGGATCAGGGATATTGGTGTTCATGAGCTGAAGCACACAGCACACTGTGTGCTAATGAATTTCACACCGAAACTAATTAGCCAGATAGCCAGCTATCAATCTAGCTAGCTTCCCAGGTAGCTGGCCAGTTATTTAGATGGCTACCCAGATAGCCAGCTGGTTACCTAGTTAACTACTGTCAGAGAGAAAATGTTCTTTTCTAGCTGCTGTGCAATGAAAAAGTTTTGGTATACTACCAAGATTTTATTATTACTACTTAGTCATGAATAGAAAAACCATGAATAGTGTACAAAACAAGGCAGGCAAGAAAATTTGACAATATTACAGTTTTCAGAAAAGACCGTGAAAAGATTAGTTTTTGTAAATAATAATAAAAAAAAAGTTCATCAAACGTCACACACAAAAAAAAATGGCATAGCATAAGTATCATATTTAAAATAGCAAGGACTAAGCAATGTGTTGATAAATCATGACAGTTTTCTTATTCGTATTAGAGACATTTTTATGTAATTTGGGATATTCAACAAAGTAGTTCAGTTAGATCAAACTTTTGCTTTTTTACATTTTTGGATTTAAGTTTGAATGTCATTTTAGTCACTCAAATTTAAGTTAATATATTTTCATTTGATATTTTCAATTGTTTTGTGGCACATAAGTAGTTTTCTTTTAGAAAAATAAATACCAACTATAGGTTCTATAGGTTTTGTTGAGAAACAACCTATAGAAAGCTGGTACTTTATGTAAGTTTAACTCCCCCCCTTATAACAAAATAATGATTAAATATTTACAGATAAAGCTGTGTTTTTAGATGCTTAAGATTTTATGCACACCATTAAAATTATTAGTAAATTATTAAGTGCAGTCGAGCCCCATCTGACAGACACACAACCAGCTGCCACTGGTGCTCACTAAGTCAGCAGTCAGCTTTAGCACAGTCCAGATCAGCTTAATTCACTTACTGAGCTCCGTCTGCAAACCCACAACTACTTACACACTGTGTGTGTGAGTTTGTGTGTCACAGATAACGATAATAACACAGGGATGAGTTCGTATCACACATAGACGGACAAATAGACAGAAAGGCAGGCAGTGGGAATGGCGAATGGATGAGCGAACAAAAATAGACAGACAGATGAAACACAGGCAGACAGACAGATGCAAGCAGGCAGGCTGGAAGACAGCTGCACTGGGGTTTGTTAACGCTTGCTGCTGCATGTAGCCTCTGCATATCATGGATGGTTTGGATGTTGTGTTGGGGAGGAAGAGACGACAGCAGGGCTCACAGCAGGCTGTAATCAGAAGCTCCAAATATCTCAAAATACAATCTTAGAGATGTGAACAAATCACCACAAATCAAACTTTTAGGAACTTTATATCATCACATGTTCAGGTTTCTTCACCAGCGGTAAGTAAATTCATACTGATTCTGGACTTTGTTCAAAGGTTAATACTGAAGTGGGGTTGGACGGAGTATTCATTAGTTGTGAGTGTCCTAAATATGGGGCCTGCTCTGACAAATGGTTAGTCAGAGCAGACCTGGTTCCAAAGCAGACTCTTAAAACAAGTCCAATGATTCAAGTCAATAAGGTTAGTCTGTTGCTCATCTGAGTTATACCAGATGAGCAGTTATCCACCTGTTAGCTGGTTTTCCTGTAACAGTTAGTTGTTTCTCCACCATTTGCACCTTGAGCAGCATACAAGCACTAGGACCGTCCTCCTGGCTCCCAGTGTCTGTTTAATGACTTTCTTAATTACATAAGAAAGTTATTAAATAGACAGAAATCCTTTACAAATGTGTGCAACACTGTCAATATTCCACTGATGGCAAAAAAAACAACAACAAAATTTCACAATTATGGTGTTTCCATTAAAAAAGAAATGCAATTAAAATCACACATGGATATGATTGTTCAGACAATACGTCATTAAGAACCTGCTGCATCATCCTCCAACTGCAGCCTGTCTTCTACTTCATGGTTTGTGACAGTGGTAACATCTGGGTTGTTAATCATGTGACGGTTGTAAGGTGAAAAGAGTTTTTTCTTGCAGTTTTGCAAAATAAACCAGTTTCTATATGGCTAAAAAAAAAATCACCTCATCCTAGAGCCAAAACGTTTTATCGAAAGTCTTTTCAAAATTGCAGTGTTTCCGTTAAGTAAATTTATTTTCTAAATGCCAAATTGTGCAGTTATGTTGTCAATGGAGACGCAGCTACCGTGAAAACAAGCATTTTTATACATTACAATACCTTTCCTTCAGGTAGTGTCCTTGTCTGGTTATAGTTGTTTGTTTGTCAATCTTATATTTCTTCATGTAAAGTTAATCAGTAATGCTCAATGGATCAACTTAGCCTTAAAAGTCAATAAACATTAAATCAATGACCGGTTAGAGGTCTAAAGGTATGAACATCAGCTATTGTTAAGTCAAAGGCTCAACCAAAGTGTCTTGGTCACTTTTCCATTATGTTACAACCACAAACGTCTATGTATTTTAGTGAAAAGTCTTTCCAACTAGCAGCTGTATAATAGAGATTTTTAACTTTATTTAGTAATTAAGTGACTTCTGCTTTTTATTTATTTAGAGGTGTCTAGTAAAGGGGTTGACTAGAGATTCATGACACTTCCTTCTCGGGTTTTGTACCGTTTCTCTTCCATATGATGTCATTGCTGAAATCAGAAAGAGGTTTCTTTGTTACGTCTGCTGGACAGCTTTGAAATGAATAATTGGACTCACACATTCAGGTTTATAATTGTGGTATAGACATTTGTGCAACATTGACTGAATTTGTGAGATAAATAACTTTTTTGTGTACGCAAACAAATCTTCTCAATCAATGACCCACGTTTAAGGAAGTATTTCACAGAATAATACCCCATAGAAAATGTTGATTCTGAAGGTAAACTAAAAGTTTTCTGACTCATCTGGAGGAGTGAACTCATTGATGTTGAGCACTGGATGTAAATGGTAAGAGCCATTATAAGTCAAAGACTTTGCGTAGGAAAATCAAGAAGACATAAGTGGAATATGGACTGAATTCAATGATTCAGATGGCATTTTTATTGCCATAGTGACTGTTACATTAGAGCCACATTGACTGAGACACACACTTTCATACACTGATACACAGATCAGTAGGAAAGTGCCCAGGGCATCACAGAGTTTAATAGAGGGAAGATGGAATCAAACCCACAACCTTTCAATTGCAAAACAACTTGTCCAAGGTTATTATAGTCAACTAAAAAGAATGAAATTATGAAAACGAAAACTGAGAATAAAAGAAACAGCAATCAATGGGGCAAATCTATAACTAACCTGAACTTTATTATGTGCTTAATTATATAGCACATATACAGAACTTATAGATATGATACAAGCATCATGTAGTCTGCAAAATGGCAACGGCAAAAGTTGGGAGAAAAGCGTGAGTTGTTATTCAACAATAAATGAATCATTTATTGTTGAATAATAATAAATTATTATTTATTATTATTAAT